ATAGGAATAAAATATTCCAATTAAAATATTTAAAAAATTTTCAACTTTTATAATGACGGCAGCGCACTATTGGCCAAGAAATAATATAGTAAGCGATATCACATCGCTCATTAGAATGTTTACTATAATTAAAAGAGAATTATTAAGGCAGCCGCCATTCAATGACTTCTCTTTGCAGACGTTTCTATCGATTTTAACAAATAATCTTAGATGGGATCGATTTTGTTGAATTCATTATTGACCATATAGAAAGTTACTCAAGTGACTATTTGTTGTCTACATATAAATATTATTGTCTTGATGAATGATTTTCGAAAGCAAATTGTTTCGATTGTGTGATTTTGAGTGTTCTAATTAGTGGCAATCCTACAAAAATGCATGGCTATCCTACTGCTTAACTTATGTGTACTTAAATGGGCTATACGAGAAAAATATCTGTCATATATATATATATACTGTAATATAATTCATTTTGACTAGTTTATTGACTACATCGATGATATCGATAGGAAAGTGCCTGAGCATTTCAATGAATTTGATTTGTTAGTTGTGATTACAATTGGATGCCTTATTGTATTTTCAACCTTATTGCGAGATAGAGCTACTCAAGGAAAACCATGCCAAGTTGTGTACGCTAAGACTTCATTTTCTTATTTCTTATTAAGAATCGATTAACAAACTAAACTTAAACTTAATTCTATCTATTTCGTTCAAATCGTTGTACCGGATGAAAATAGACTGCTCAGTTACTGGTAAGGATTTACATTGAGTATTTTAGGACGTTAGGGTTAGTCATGCGCTTATTAATCTATGCTATATTAAAAATTATAGTGGAAATGTTAAAAATAATTTGATCATGTGCATTTATATCATGACTAGTTTGCTATCGATATTGAACGATTAAATTACCGTACAAGAGGACAAGAGGATAGTATTAATCACTTGCAATAGGGGTAAAGTCATCGTTATTCTATTCTATTCAGACTTACCGCAGTCTTGCAATGTTGAGGTGTTGGCCTCGCTTTCAAGTAGTCGATATTGGTCAAGCATTCGTTTATCTTTGACGACTAGAGGATGATTTTCTCCGTAGAGGTAGCATAAACTATCGAATGATTTTTGACAGAATTCGATAGCTTGAATGTAGTTAGACTGCTTAAGATAGATTCTTGCCATATCTCGGTAGGATTTCGCAGTACTCGGATGGTTATTACCAGTTGTTGCTAGCCAAATCTCGAGTGATTTCTTATGCATGGATACAGCGTCGTCATACTTGCCTTGATTATCATAAACACCCCCAATGTTGTTATATAACGTAGCAGCGTCCGGATGATTGTCACCAACTTGTTCTTGTATAATCTTAAGCGATTCTTCATACTTTAATAGAGCGTCATCATACTTGCGTTGATCATTATAGACAAGCGCAATTTCGTTATATAACGTTGCAATCTTCAGATAATTTTTATCCGATTGTGCTAGTCTAATCTCGAGTGATTCGTTATACTTTGCTAGAGCGTCATTATACTTGCCTTGGTTATAATAGACACTACCTATGTTCTTATGTAATGTAGCAACACCTGGATCATTCTCGCCTTTAATTCTCGATCGCATCTTCACTGATTTTTCATACATTTTTAAAGCCTCATCGTACTTGCCTTGATTAGTGTACACAGCGCCAATGTAATTGTAGGAGTCACTAACATCGATATTTTCACTTCCTAACGATTTCAATTTCAAATCAAGAGAATCTTTAAAACCTGTCAAGGCGCCTTCACGATCGCCTTCAAGTCGTTTAATGTTACTCCGCCTATCCAAGCATATTGCAGTCTTTGCTTCGTCTTGTAGTTGTTTAGCTAATTTCTCTGCTTCACTAACACATTTTTGGGCTTCTAAATATTCATGTTCTTCTCTATAACAATCAGCCATTTCCAGATAAACATGATATTTAAGTTGATGAACATCATCGTTACCTTGGGGTATCAATTCTATTTGAGCAATCACTTTTTTATACCAACAAAGCGCTGACTTGTAACAGCGATGATTTTGATATTTTCGACCCTGTTTGTGAAGAGTTTCGACTTCATCAGGAATAGTCTTAGTAGACTGATTATCCATATTTTCAATTTTGAAGAAGAACCAAGAGATAGGATGGAATAAAATAGATTTGTATGCTCTTCTCAATGTATTTGCCAAATTTGGATAACTATACGAATGACCGTTGCAATAGATCAGCGAAAACCTGTAGAATAGCTGTCTTTAACGTTCAATCGATATTTCAAAGTCTACTTCAGTTAAGAATGCTGTTAAATGGATAAAATTTGATACGTCCTTAATCAAATGACGATCATCAATTATTTTTCTATATCATTGTAGTGCAGCCCCAAATATAGCTAGGATCATGATTGTAAGACTGTACGAGAGCAGTAGTACTCGTTTGCTGGATAGTATGATTTTGAAGATATTTATTTGTAGCAGAGGTTTACACGTGTATTGCCCTTATACTAACTCATTAATTAGCATAACACTAGCAGAAGTCAACGCAACGTCAAGTATAAATCAATGCAAAAAATGCACAAAATACAAGCATAACTTGAATAATATAATAAACTTGTTAAACAAACTATAGGTAGGCATTAATCAGCATAGTCAATACATATAGCTTGGATCATGATTGTAAGACTGTACGAGAGCAGTAGTACTCGTTTGCTGGATTGTATGATTTTGAAGATATCTATTTGTAGAAGAGGTTTACATACGTATTGTCTTGATATTATTGAGATGTTACATTAAGATTTCATGATAGTAATAGATAGCGCTAATTATGTTAGTGCTGTGGGAGTTGCGTTGTAGCGCTTTAATTAAGCGCCTATAATGAATATTTCGCGCGATAATAAACTGTTATCTTGCGACTTAATTGTCAAGATATGATTGCATTGTGTAAAATTCATTCTATAACAAAGGGCATATAAACCGCGAGCTTTTACTGTTAAAGATAGTCCGGAGATAGTCTTGGTAGTTATGAGACGAACCTGATCTTATGTAATAAAGTGAACTTTGCAAGAAGCTGTAGTTCGTGTTGTATTTTTGAGAAGACACTTTATCATAATCATTATAATATCAGCGTTCACTCAGTATCCATAACGAATGAAATACTGCCAAATACACTAGCACCATTATCGCCTTTTTTCTATTAACGTATTTGATAGTAATTATCCATATCAGTAATTGTTATCATTAACTCATTAATTAGCATAACACTAGCAGAAGTCAATGCGACGTCAAGCATAAATCAATGCACAAAAACTGCCCACAATACAAGCATAACTTGAATAATGTGAAAATATTGTATACACATATACATATTAGTAATATAATGAAATGGTTAAATAAACTATAGATAGGCATTAATCTACATAGATCTTTAATTAAATTGCCCGTAACTACCCATAGCGCGTAACCATGTACCATAATGAATTTCGTTATAATTTCTATATTAATTAATTAGGGTTCATGTTTGGAAATTAATTGTACTATAAAGGGATAAACTAACGTAATGGAATGTAGAATTTTAACGATTAACTGCTACTTTGATTTAGATTTCATTTAATAACAGTCGTTTGTTATGATGGCAACGGGTGGCTTTTTAAGCAAGTAATATCACTTGTTGATTATTAGGTATTAAAACTACTGGATATACATTCATAGTATACTAGTGATTTCGATAACAGTACTTATTCTCTATTAAATAAAATACGACATTCAATTACCCGTTGATATAGTGCTAAATCAAATAATTATACCTTACTTGCATTATTATGGCAAGCACATTTTTTATTTACTTCATGATATTTATATGGCAACGTAGCTATCTCTTACGTTCTACATTTCAGCCATATCTATTGAAAACTTGATATACAGGTGCACATACCTTTGCAGTAAACAAATATTAGATACCCACAGCAACATGCCAACATCGTTGTAATCCATTTAATTTTACTCAACGTATTTATTTGTTCATCTTGTGTTTTCATGAAACATCCAATCGCGAGCTGACCTCCATTTAAACTATTTTCAAATTATGCTTTAAAATTGTAGTGTCTTAGATACGTAACATGTAACTAGTACTGTAATTTGTACGATGTTGGTAATATGTTATATGTTATAGAATATAGTAATACATACAGTATACAGTATAACTTAGTATTGCAAACACAACCCTATGCATTGGTATAAATACTCGATCCTAAGAATATTATTCAATTCACTTTACGTCGCTTTACTTTACGTCATGTCTTGATATTAACTCTTACACGTTAGTCAAGCTTGTAACAAACGTACTATCGCTTAAATAAAACTCCTTCAAAACACACACTCAATTACTATCTTCCTATCTATCTCCACGCTTCTCACTACTATTAACGTATCATGGCTACCGCAGATCCGCCTTCAGAGTTAGCCACAAACATATTTCACGATTAATGCACACATGTATATATAGTAGAATTATTAACGCATAGTTACTAAGTGGCTTCCAGTTCTAGTTACGAAGTCTGTAAATGACGCTGCAATCACAAAATTTTAAGTGCAGAAGAATCATATTTGAAGAAACAGTTCAAGTTAAATGACTTTGTAGGTCAATTGGTTGCATGTGAAATTGTTAACTTTTTTCTGTAAGCCGTAGGTAATATGCTATTTGAAAGATTGCTAGATTATCTCTTTGTAAATTTTGAATTAATTGCTGTTCGATTATTTTCTCTATTTTATTTGGTGTCAAAGTTACATTAAGTCGACCGGGATATAAAAAATTAACATATAGATGTAGTAAAAGGACTAAAAGTAGAGTCCTTTGTAGTTTTTAGTATGTAATTAGTATTATTTTACTATAGAAAATACCTACAAAGTGATAGTGTCTTTAAGTTTTACCCTGCCAAATCATCATGTCGCCATCTTTTCTTCTTCATTATTTTACAAGGTATTATATAGATTACTATAGAAGTAGCCCTATAGAGCAAATGCCTAATCTAAAGAAAGGGCGTTTGATCGTCTATTCAAATTGTAAAAGAATTTGACTTAGTAGCAAAACCCTATCCTTAGAGAAAGGGGATTTATAACATGACGATAAAGTACTGTTAATGTAGTCTATACTCGTACAGTTACAGTACAATCTGACGCTAAAACATCAACTGTCAATACTCGCGAATACTAAGCGATACTAATGTCAGAAAAGTAGTCTTAGTAGTCATATAAATTTTTTTGATAAGCGATTACTGTGATCTTCATAAAAAGCGAATTTTTCCGGATTTGTGTCCGATATAGTTTTCGGATTCTGGGACCGGTCGGGTTTGTGTCCGATATAATTTTCCTGCTTTGGAACCGGTCGGGTTTATTTTTAATTTATGTCTGAATTATAATTTTTCTGTTTTAATTTTTGGATTTTTGTTTGTGAAAAATATCGTAAGAGTTGATTTTTGAGATTTGGACTTTTTGTTATGAATTTGAAACTTTGGAATTTTATGACGTGACTTGAAGTCACATTAGGAGATTTAGTGAGGAAAGTAGAAAATAAGATGGAAATTGGCAGAGGTTGTGTTGATTATTAGGTAGTTAGAATGTTGTTTTTATGACTAAATCTTGATGTTTAAAGGTTGATTTTTAGACTTTTATAGTGTATTAATGATAGAAATTATGTTAGAAATGAAGTTTGATGTATTTTTATAGTTAGCTTGTTAGTTTTATAGTGTTTTGTAAGGGAATCGTAGGGTAAATTGTGTCTGAACTTTGAATGATTTTTGTTTTCTTAAATGGTGCAAAATAGTTTTCTAAAACGGATCTTAAGAGCGATTGGTTAGCAAATGTTTAGTTTTAAATACCTCAGACGGCTCTATGAAGCCTATAAATGATAGTGCAATTAGAAAATTTAGAGGGAGAGTAGAAGAAGATTTTATTCGAAGAACTTGTTGAATTTAAAAAGGCCTTCGGGGTCGAATTGTCGTAAGTTAAAACGTTCTTCTTTTTGAAAGGTTGTTTGGTCGTTGACAGTTTTTTTTTTGTCTGTTATTTATTTTAATAATACTTAAAGCTAAGTATTTGTAAGGTTGTTCGGTTTATACTTCTGTCCATTTTTGCTTTGAAATAAATTGTTGTTCGGTTATTTCCCCAAATTTTATTTGGTGTCAAAGTATTAGCGTTAAGTCGACCGGAGTGCAACGAAAGTAGAATGAAAGTTTGTTAAAGTTTTGTAGCTTGATCTCTACACTTTTCATTTCATTACATAGAAATATTATAATGCCGAAATAATAACGGATACTAGACCTTCTCTATTATTAATTATGTGGCTTTTTGCAATAACATTTTCTGTATTTCTATTACATACAGAAGCTAATAACTATTTCATAGTTTATCTACATTAATCTAATTTACTGCGATATTGCATAGCTAAAACTGATACTAGATATGTATACGAGTAAATATTTCTTACTTAATTCATAATATCTCTAAAATATTCACCTTCCGTCAAACTCATACCGTAATCTTCAGTCAAATAGTAGTTATCGAAAATAAATATAATTTTGTAGACGATGGCTAATATTCTATTCTCTCCTATCGTACGGAGAATAAATGGGATGAAGTTGGATATGGTGCAATACGCCATGCACTGCGTATAGGTAGTAAAATAATAAAATGGTTGGCAATTGTTGAACGTTGTACTCGTTACATCAAAAATTTCGCGCAAATTGAATACTTCTTAAAACACAGATACGAGTTTGTTTAATTATTATCCTTGTATCACCTAGTGATTCAACACCAATTGTATTATACAATGTATCATACAACTCACGTTAATAACAACTAAGAATAATTGTTTTCCTAATTTATTTTTATCGTATTCGTTGTTGATCTTTTCTTACTTTTCTATAGTAATTGTATTAACTTCGCTTACTTTACATTCTTTGTACTGATTTACCCTACGACCATTTACCGAAGTATGAATTTAGTCATTCGTCTTAAACCAGTGAAATAAATACCTGCTTATTTCTATTCTAAACTTGGGCTAAATTTATTTTTGACATACTGATAGACAATTGCTAAACTACTTTACTGTTCATTTTGTGTTATAAATCTTATATTATCTGTTTACGAGCAATCATATGTACATCAAAACAGATTCGATGTATAATGTATAATCTTGAATTAATTATATCCGTATAAAAACTTAAAACCCATTCTATTGTATCTGTAAAGATGATAATTTTTATTTTTAAAATAATATGATATTTATAAGAATTTACGCTACTAAAAATCATCATAATTCGATTATTACATTCTTTCTTCATATATAAACTAACTATATTAAAATTTGATAAACAATTTAGTTGCATGCATTTTGATTGATTTAAATTCTACGTTTGCCTTATACTGTACACTTTAATATCCTAACAATTGAAAATACTAATTGAATATTATATACATGTGCAGAAAATATATGTGCCGAGTGTACATAGATCATCATATTATAATGTATCTATCTGATAAGGTCCACAAAATGCCAAAATATTAGAATTGACTATTTCTTTCAAAGGAGTAAATTTACATTATTAAAACTTATCATCGTTCATTGAATTTGAATGGCTCCTTGCTCTATAGTAATTCTGCATCATTGCCCTTGCAGGAGAAATACCAAATCCTGGAGAGAAACTATTCATACAGTCGTATGGAGACAATGCATCAGAAGATAGATAATCGTCATCGTCCTCATTCTCCTATCGTGCAATATATATAAAAAATTAAGACCTGTCTAAATTAGTATTTAGCAACGACTAGCCGCAAAATATCAAAATCGACCTCTTGTTGATTTTTTGTACAGGCAGCATTAGAGTTTAGGTTATCATCCCAGCTTTGATATAGAGGTTCGATCGTTTTAGCCGACCTATACAGGATTAGGATATTTGCTATATTATATTTAATTCTACATTCTACGATTACGATTAAAACATGAACATACAACTAATTACGTTATCAGCAAATACATTATCATACCGCGATAGGAGGTAAGGATCAAAAGGGAAAAATGTATCTAATTGATTGTTGATATCACGCGTAAGCTGTTTATCTCCACCGAATAAAGCGGTAGGCAGCTGCTCTCTTTTATTGCTCTCAATAATTGTATAGCAATAAACTAATTCATGTTCACTAACATTATAATTATTCAATCAAACATTAATCCATAATTTTAGTCAAAACATACAGTAGCAGTTATGTGAAGGAATAAACATGCATAATAAGCCAATTAAATAATCTTACCTTGTAATTGCTGCAAAAAATTTGACTAGGATCGGCATACAAAACTATACAAATATCGGATGGTTAAAATTTTAATTATGCTAAAATCAAACTGCAGATTAAGCAGTAAAGACTTACTCGTAATGGGTTTAATTTTGACGTAACAATTCTTTGGAGACCACCACGATTGAGTAATTTTTTACCTTCACAATGTACAAGCACATTTTAGGAACATTGAAGTCGAACAAAGACTGACAATTTCATCTAAGCATATCTATATTGATAAAGTAATACCACTGACCTTCTTCATCTGCCATCAGGTTTTCATGCTTGAAAACAATCATGTAAAACAAACACTAGATATAGAGACACGGGTATAATAATGCATAGCAATTAGGTATTAATCTAATTTCAGTTTTATTCATGTTGATAAATTTACACTTTATAATATCTTATAAAATTAAATCTTATTTTAGAATGTACTTGGCAGGCAGAATAGAAAAGGCAGTGTGTGTCAATATCGGCAGTGGTGCAATTTCCATGTTCATCAAGATATCTACAACATTAAATATTGAATAGTAATATGCTGTATCCTTCCTAATAACGCTATCAAAGGTCTAAATCAAGATACACAATATAAATTACCTATGAATCCAGGTACAAAATATTTCTATGCATGTATTGATAATTCTAATATATGAAAGATTAATGTCATTGATTAATACGATTACCTATCATTGACGAAATGTTTATAACTATCAATGTCGTGTAACATTATCAATAAAATGCGGGATGTAATACTTTAACTATAAATTAGTCTAATTCCAAATTTGTTGACAAAGATTTTTTACATTAACATCAATAATCTGACCTTAATGGCACAAATTTTGCTCTAGCAACGAAACTTGCGATGTAGGCCACAGAAGTTTGACGTAAAACAGCTGTAAATAAATATTTGCCATATTATGACACGGTAGTTATAATTATATGGTTAAAACCTATTTTATTAGTAAATTCAACGACTTAAATTGCCCACCAACCGGGTACATTTGTGTCTTCGAACTAAATTATAAAGATAGTTTAAGCGTTAGCTGGTGAATATTAAAGTTAAGCGAGGCTCCTGTGTGACATCGTATTATAATAAAAATACCTTATTCCAGCACAAATGAAGCATCTGTTTTACAAATTCTTCGTCATAGCTACATGTCACGAATAAATAGAATTGGATGTGGCAAATGTCATGCGTTGGCAAAATAATGGTATCGAAAGCCTGTTTCCAACCGAATAATAAGATTAATATTAGTCTAGCGTATATTATAATGAAAATTATTATAGAAATTGTAATAGCAGCATCTTGTAAGCATAACTAACTGTCAATAAATCCGTAAATAGTAGTGATGCGGCAGATTGATCAAACTTGCCTAAAGATTAGAAATGGATAACATTTCATAGTATCTTTATAACTAATTTTTTTAATTGATTGATTTATAATTTACGTCAGAAGTAAAAAATCTGTTCGAACTTTTCATCTTACCTTGTTGATAGCATATAATACTAATGTAAGATAAGAAGATCGACATTGACAGGTCCAATTTATCAGCTAAATTAGCAATTTGTTGAAGATCTCTAGGTAGTACAGCTAATTTATCAGCAGAATTACTATCATTCATCTCCTAAACGGCAATCACATGAAGTAATTTATACCAATCATTGCAAATAAAGGAATTATTAATACGAAAATAAAATTTATGAAAATATATATAAATACTTCAAATTAAATCTTACCAAGTCAACATCGAACTGCATTTCGTCATCAGCAAATATTTGGTTGATTTTGTTTATCGAGTCTCGCGATACCTCCACCTTCAGTCAAATGGGTCATTCTTAGTCGATTACAATTTAAAGGTTGATGATGCACTTTTTAAACTCAATTCATAATGTTATCAAGTCTTACATCAACTTTGACTAGTTTGTGGACAGTTAACTCTAGAATTTGTGAGCGCAATCCAGGTGCGTAAACAGTCAAACGCAATAAATTACTAACATAATAAACCTTGAATATGAGTCGGGAAAAAGAAAAAGATGGATATTGATTATCCCTAGTCTATCTAATCCAATAATTAAGCAAATGATATTGAATCTTATAGAATTACATATTGATCTAATGGCTTATATTCCGATGGAAAATAATGTGTTAAAATAGGTATTAATCTTGTTTGGGACCTATGGAAGAACATTACTAAGTAATTATCATGCCTTTGAAAGTATAAGAATAAGAATGCAATAATAGCTCGCACTTCATCTCATAAACTATCAGCCCTGTATTCTATTCTCATAATGAATGATGTAATACGTACGATGGGACTAAATGTAGAACAGTTTGCATTGCGCGATGAACTTGCTTGTTCCCAACTATTAACGAAGGAAAGAAAAGAACAAATTATAGTATCATAGAAACCTAATAGCAAATTGGAATACTAAGACACCGATACAGTAGTAATAAAACATTAATACGTTAATTGTAAAACAATAAAGAGCTTATGAGGGCATAATTCTACTCACAAATGTCAAAACTTTGATTTTCTCCAACGGTAAGTTCGCGAGAATCATTGCCTATGAATGATTGAAAGAATATCCAAAATTAATTTACGCTGTAACTTTGATATATGTTCCTACGAGGAAGAAATATCATTGCTTTACTAACTTGACATAAAGTGATTAATTAGCATTCTCAGGCACGGATCAAGGTAGAACGAAGTATGCACCGTAACTAGATCTGCCAGCCATCCAATATAAAGATCTAATAGTGATTCTTCACGATCGATCCATTTTATTTTCTAATGTAATTGTAATATTTTAAGGTATAATTGGATATTATATTGAACGAGTATTGCATGTATTGCAAGTGAATCTTTGTAAGAGATCTTATCCATAAGACCTGGACTCACCAAAGTTGCATTGACAAGTGATTCACATTTATGGTTAATATCTGTTGTACAATATCTCAGACTTTTTAACCATCGGTAAAAGATTTGAGCCTATCATGCAATTGAAAGAATTTTTATCATTTATGTTTTGATGGAATTAAAAGAATAACATTCTATTGACATCAAGTGTCCAATATGATGAGATACTGTAAAATTTCGTTATCTTTATCAAGTAAATTGTAACAGTTATTACTGAACATGCTATTTATTTAGAGCTAACTATTCTCTCTTTCATTATAACTCACGTCCATATTGTCTTGCGATAGCTGATGTACGATCCAGTCATAGTCTTTTTGCAATCCCTATAATATATTTTGTTATAATTAGAATGTATAATCACAATTGAGTTATCCAGCTCAGTGTTGACTGTACCAAACAATATTATTTTTATTACGATGTATGTTCATTCGTAATCTATTCGTTTGATTGCATTCTGATAAACTGATTCAACACCTTGATGAACATACAATAGATTTATGCATCAACTATAAACTTGTTTCACTTTACGTGGCGTGTTTTTAGCCAGATTATACCATCTACTTGATTTCCAGTTTACTATTCATGGTTAGAAGTTAGTAGAGTTTTGGCAGCAAAATTACACGATTTATAGTACTTTGTGATCCTGTCAAGTGGCTATCTTGCCATGTTTTATGTTGTCTACGTTAACTGAACATTGATCAATTCTAATTATTGTACTAGATATCTAAGTTGTCTATTTCAAAGTCTAATAGTCTACGTAGAATTTTGTATATGATTGTTATAACAGTATGTTCATGATATTCTGAAGTAATAAAATAGGAGAAATCGTGTTTCTGTAGACGATCTAAAATAGCAGCACCAGTAACTGAATTAATTACGAGAAAATCGCATCATGCTGCAGTCATGGTTTATACACCCATAGATGATGATCACTAATAATGTTACTTTCTCGTTGCAAGTAAAATATTTCACTATCGCTGACTTGTACGATACAGTAATATTGCAAAGTATTTACTGTATTCGGTAATTTCATGATCAACCAGTTTTTGAATATTACTACGAGATGAATGAAGGCCGATTGAATAGATGCCTAGAACTACCATTACCTTTTTCTTATTTTCCAATGCTTTATGTATCACCGTAGCCATAATCATAGCCCCTTGGCCTGAATCTGAATATTCCTCATCTCCACTCATATCTGACGCTTCTACTTCGTCCATAGCTTTGAATAAACTAGTCTAGAATTAGATATACAGGTAGATTACATTGAAAATTAGCCTTTAGCAGTGGATCGCAATGTTGTCATGATAGCCTACCATGCGAGCATCGTATTCAATCGATGCACACAACGAGGATGTGCAAGAATCTTACAACAACTTGAACAGATCAATGGATACAAATACTACACTATAACAGTATCGAGTTAGAGAAGAGAGCAGTCTACCTCCTTTTTCCTAGTTGTTTCAAGGCAATAATCGCACTACTATCCTACAATTTCTAAGGATCGAATATGATTCCAAAAGTCTGCAAGAGCTAATTTTCATCAATCCAAGCATTAGATTATAACAAGAAATCTCCAACAAGGGCAACCGATTATCATTGCTTACGTCAAGATATCATGCTCTTTCTCTCCTTTTCGTGTATGATCTTGTAATAACAGTCTTCCTGGTTGCCAATACTGCTACTAACTAAGGATAATTCTAGGATATTATCAAGTTATAGCTAGGAAAGGTAAGAAATAACGAGGAATCCAGCGAAGAATTTCTATCGAGCTAGCTGGAGATGAGTTGTGCTAAAGAAGTAGGACGAACCAGTAAATTTTATATAGTTTAGTATAGCGCCAAAGGAGAGTATGCGCTTGTACCTAGTCATTGAACACGCGCATGCATGGTGCTGATAGTAAATCAATTATCCAACCGGCAATAGATGATTACTATGGATGAATGGCTCACGTTTGGGTATGGCTACTAGGATGAGAATTGGACAAATCGTATTCAAGGGTAGGTTCCAAACACGCCAAATTGCAATAGTATTTATATGAGTTTCTAGGGCAATGGCTGATATCGATCGCGGAGACCGCTTTGCTGAGATATGGACTGGACCGGTACCAACTGGACCTCCCTCCAATCATGACGTCATACTAGTCATGCGCAATACCGTCTTCCTCATCAGAACAAAATGGGGGCTCTATTTGGTAAGAGTAAACCAAAAGAGGAAAAGCATCAAATTACTGAACAAGATCGAGCTGTTTTGGTTCGTATGATGTCTGTTTGGAGGATAGATTATATTATTATTCTTGCTGTTGAGTTTTCTGATGAATAACCAATGTTATGGAGACGTAGAATCAATTCGTAGTTCATGGTGCGGTATTTAATCTTGTAGTGCATCGAGATAAACGTTTCTCAATTGATATGATAGGATATCGGATGGAAACGCCATCGATATTCATCATGATTAGTATACACCTTTCTTTTTAACTTAGAATAGCTAAATTAGGTTCGTGTTATATTATTCAGGTGATAAACTAGTATTTCGATAATGGAGTAACATATTATTTAAAGCTTTTGCATGATGTCGTGGACAGAACAAGATATGGGTGGATTTTATCATGGACTACTAGTACTAGTAGATGCTTTACAGTATCTAGTGGTTTCTTGATTTTACGTTGCTGCCAATATATGAGATAGGGTTCAGACTGATGTAATTAGCTAGAGATTGCCTAAATGATTTAAAAATCATTTGGATAGTGTATCAAGATCTGACTTAGACAGCCTATAGTATTAATTATGCGTAAATTTAATAGAAGTAACGTATGAAACCGATTTTTATATTAGCATCGGACAAGGCACTACATGAGTTGTGCGTACATATTAGATATGAAACTATAATACTAGTCAAGCATAAGCAATGTAAGTATAAAATGAAATCAAATACCCAGGCGGCTCTCTTCTAATACATTACACTTTAGAGAGAACCACGGACCATAAATTGCTTAAAATTGCTTGTAATCAGTTTGTAAGTAGATACAGATCATGTACAAAGAGGTTGTACTGTTTATGATGTAGATGTCTAAGTGTAGTATCATAATTTATATCAGATCAGCCTTGATAACAATTCCGCTTATACAAACTAGGTGCTTAAATCATTTATATTTTTATTTCCTATGCTGTTCCAAGACCAGAATCAAATTAACTGCTTTATTTACCTCTATAACTGATGATCCACTATCTTTCATTTTTTTTTTCTACTGTCAATAGGGGCTCAAGCAACAACGAGACAAACTGCAACAATATCAAAAAAGGGTAGGTTAAGTTAGATCTCTCTTGCTTAAATGGCATGATGAAGATGTTGTTCAGTTTGCTATTTACAATTATGGTACGTAGATCACTTATCAGTCTAACTCTTTATTGATGTTTTTGCTTTCATCCAGATCAAAATAAGTTTAGAACAAGAAAGAGCCTTCGCGAAAGATCTTGTGAAGCAAAAGAAAGTAGAGTAAGTAAAATCATAGCAATGTTTAATATCGAGTAAAAAATGAAGGAAAGCAAATCTACGCCTGCATTGATTATAGCTGCAACGCTACAAACATAGGCATGCATACAGTATATTTTTGAAAGGACATCTGAGAAGTTAATACACATTTTACGGTAGACTTTACCTTTACTCCCTATCCAAAAGGACTCATTCGTTTAATCCAATTTAGACCTAAGCACATTAATACCGTGATCGTGAAATAGTTTTAGTTAAAATTAATTTCTCATGACTAATGCTATAATTTAGCCTGGTTCTACGAAATATATCTTCTTGTATGATGATCGAGATATTGATACCCTTTCCCTTTTGTAAATAAAAAATTTTTTAAAATTTGTATCAAAGTTGATGAAAATAGTAAATATACATGTATCATGATTATGTTATTAACTTATTAAACTAACGTTGTCATTAGTAAAGCCAAACTTCTGTTAAAGAAGAAAAGATATTATGAATCGCTACTAGAAAAAACGGATGGTCAGCTTGATGGTTTAGAACGAATGGTAAATCATTAATTACGCAACAAAACTATTACACACAATTATAATAAAACCGTTCTTTGCTCGATTCTAAACCCAAATAGTGATATAGATTGCAATTGTAATGACAGCACCAATAATTAAATATTGATTCCCTAGTTTTTACACTGCTTTGAATGACACCTCTGATCTATATCCTCAGTAAAAATTTCTTTTAACTTCAGGTAAATGATGTAGAATTTGCCAAGATACAGGTACAAGTTGTGGAACGCTTGAAGCAGGGTAACGAGTGCTTAGATAGAATGCATAAGGTGGGTGAACTATTGTTGTATGTCTTTTAATCTTGTCATCTCTATGATACTTCAAACTAAATTAAAAATATCGTATTTAAACATCGATACTATACTTCTTTAGCTAAAGATATGTCATAGTAATCACTATTTTTTAAAACTAATAATATGCGTTACCCAAATGTAGTCCTATTAGAAGTATGATTTCGAAATGTCGTATGCGAGTATAATCATGATAATTTTGTACATACGTCGTATAATACGGAAGCCTTTTGTCATCTGTGACATGTAGATGATGTCTATTGAAGACGTTGAAAGAATTATGGATGAAACGCAAGAAGCTATTGAATATCAAAAGGTTTTTAACTATAATTATATCTAATAGCTAATGTCATTCCCAACTCGATGGCTGCCCAGCACTTATTATTGTTTGAATGAATCTTAGCAAATTGATGAGTTGTTGGGTAATACGCTGACAGACGAAGACGAAACCGCAGTTCTTGCTGAACTTGAACAAATTACACAACAGGTGCCATAGTGTGCAGATAATTACAATTGATTATTAGCTAATGTTGTATTTTAACTTAAACTGCTGCACATATAGTAGTTTATCCTGTTTATATTGACTGATGGCATATATTGCGATAGGAACTTCAAAATTTACCAGATGTTCCTGCAGCAAGTCTTCCTGCAACTACGACAGAAGACGTCGAGTTACCTGATGTACCAACTGAAGATCCGGGTAAGCTTAATGTAACTATCGACGATTAACCTTCTTATTAGGAGTTACGAAACCATGTAGTATCGGAATAATTTGAATTGATTTTCTCCATCGTCCAGTAAGAGGACACTTGTGCAATGTTTTATTAGGATTAAGTAATTTTGTTGTATGTTTACGGAAATTGGTCAACATAGTAAATACTGTGTACCTTATTTTGAGCAGGAGTTAAAAGAAAGGCACCTGCTCCTTTATTGGCTTCATAATTTCAACATCAACGACGTACAATCTTGTATCTTATTAAGAACTATCGTTTTGCATAGCGGCATTGGATTACCTTCTAGTATTCCTTGTTTTGCGTTTGTTTGTTTATGATACTGAGAAAGCGACAATTAAATGTTTTTAAAAATTAACTTTATTGATCATATTATGGAATTGATAATACTGTATGGTTGTTGATATCGTTGTTAATTCTATTGCTATCGAATTTACTTACCTTGGTGATAGGCAATATGCAAATGGATTACCGCTGTGTCGTAAATTCCTGATTAAATGTAATGTGTTATATATTACTGTCAATTTTTAATTTAAGTTATCTATAATACCGTAGCACTATACGCATATACGTGGCTTTATGCTATCGTCCTTTTAACGTTCATGTATCAATATAATGTAAGATATACAAGCACATGGAATTTATTAATTATGCTCATGATCTATATCACTGGATAAAAAATAATCAAACATCGAAGAATTGTGTCCGATGTATGATAGCTATATTATATCCTGCTTAAAATTCTAATAAACATAAAAGATAGGTTGAAATGGAGAGTTGGCTTTTGTATCGCTGTTGTGATTTTGTGTACGAATAGTCGGTAGTTTTATATTTCTGTAATTGCTATTAATGAAATCCTCTGAATTCGATTCTCCGGTATAGTTAATATGTTATAGTTATTAAATAACTTAAGTTCTAGCTAGGATTACTTGGATTTTTTTCACGATTTCTATAAAACTATATTTAGTACATCAATATAACATAATCGTACTAATATTAATTGATTTCAAACGACCTTTGTGGTTGCCTGCTGAATCCTTATGTAAGTAGATACAACAAAAAAAAACAGTACAAGTCGAACCTGTTCTGCTTAAGGAATTTTACACTATTTATATCGACCATGTGCTTCAATACAAAAATCTTACGTAATGAATAAAGTAATTCATTCATCCTATCATCAAGATATCGATAAACATTTTGTATCGATTCTGCATTGGAAATCTATATTTAATTCAATACTATCATCGGGTCAACAAATGAACATCATCTTGATTAATATTGACTAGACGATATCGTTCCTAAAATATCATAATTAAAGTTATGCTAATCAAGGTCAAAAAATATGTTGTAATATTGATTAAGTAGCAAGTAGACTAAGAATAATCTTGTCGACTATATGAAGAATCGATCAATTTATTTCCCTTAACCATATGGCTAAATTGTTATTTTCATTCTAGTTATGTCAATAACATCTTCGCTTGGATAACAAATTGAATGTTAAGGCATATCAGCAATAATAAATCGAATCAATCAGTCTGCAGTCTCCCATTTCATCTGGTACTTGTAGCATTGGCTTCCAAAAAGAAGTTACAGGCAATCCTTTCATCGTATGTACATTGTATCTTCAAAGGCTAACAGGTGTTTTTAACATTCTGATGTCATCAAAGCAAATACTTGCGAGATCATCTTAATTTAGTTCATTGATATTTTATCTCAATTTTTTTATTCCGATTCTTTTCCAGCGGATTACGGAAACTTACTTGCAATCTAGTGCCAATTAGCTTGTTCTTTTTCTCATAGATCTTATTTGCCGTTTATGAATCAAGCAGAGCGTTCCATTCAAGGCAAGATCCATCATCATAGCTCATCATTCTACCTTAAAACACAAGTCTTTCCCTTATTTTTTTTTAATTCAATTTCAGAGTTGATTTTGGTTCCAAGTGATTTCTCTTTACCTGTTTTTCAATAAGCCATCTCGATCAGCTGAAATATCTATCATTTCCTGCAAAATAACTTATAAAGATATAAATCTTGTTCAATTCTGCAATATTGGCCAACTATCACATCACCAGCATTCTAAGCTAGAAGCAGTATTTGTTAGATTTGGATTTATACTCTTTCCACTCATCATTGCTGCCATTTCTGCAATTTTTGCATATGAGTAGTCTACGACCTATTTTACTAATAGTTATTATACAAAAATCATTCTGTATTGGCCTACTTAGAAAATATGTCTAAAATATTTAGCCGAAGATCCTATCGTAATCCTGTTGGGAACCCTGTTTCTATTCGTTTGCAAGAAGATGATGAAGAAGACTTTGACGATTGCAAAAGTTCTTCCAGTGAAAGTGCTCCAATCATTACCATCAACAATCGATATAATTTCCGTTTACCATCCATTGATTTACAACGAGTCCAAGCTGTTACTGCTCGCTCGCGCTTTACTTTACCAGAAGTTGACATTAACATTAGTGTACATCGGGTAAGTTTGATTAATCGAACGATGGCTAGACTTTTCAGGGATAAAACTCAATATTGCCATATCTGTATCCCTAGCTAATTTTAAGCTTGTTATGATCTTGAAGGCTGCTAAAGAAGGTGTTGCCGGCATATTAAGACATATTTTATCCGATCGCAAGAATCATCATGATATCAATAGATTAGATGAGTATGAGATGGCTCCATTACATTATGCTGTCTTGGGTGATCATGTTGATATCGTTAAATACTTAATTGAAATTGGTGCAGGTAAGAATTAGCATTGATTCCTTCTTAAATGTGGCAAAAGCATTAGTTTAAATTGCGTTACAGTAGGGATACAAAACAATTTGATCATTACCAGAATCATGTTCCACCATCGATTCAATTCTGTTATATTATTTAGATACAACAAGATCTAGCTCTTGATCTTAATCTTCTTTAATTTCTCATTATAAATTGCATTTTATGCCTATGCACGTTAACGCAACAAATTCTGCAGTACTGTATGTATGGAATCATAGTTGTGGTACTGTCCTAAAAATTTTTATAAACTATACTAAAGAAATAACTGTAATTGGTCAAGATTTTAGTTTTCCTATATCTATTGCGAACAGTAGGATGATGTATTGAAGTATATCGTAGTCTACTGTAGCTACCACATAATATAGAACGCAAAATGCACAAAATTGATACTGCAACATTGCATAAAAGTACATTCTAGTGTATCTATAACGATCACATAAGTAAAAAAAGGTAGAGGTAAAATTGTATATGGTAGAGTGCAAAAATCCGATTTAGTCTCTGTAGCTATCTCAAAGTAGAGGTAAAAGCATATAAACCAATATTGTGATGAAAAGTAAAAATAGCTTTTCACCAATCTACAGCTATCACAAAGTATAGGCAAAAAATGCATGAAACTAATATTATCATAGCATACAGAAGTGTGTCTTAATCTACTATGGAAATTATAAGATATACAGTAGAGAGAAAATGTCCGAAATCAACAGTTTTACATTGCTGCACTAAAGTAAATTCTAGCGTATTTATAACGATCACAAAAAAATAAATAAAATAAAGGCAAAATTTGATATGATAGTGTGCAAAAGTCCTTTGAGTATCTCTGTAATATCTCAAACTAGAGGTAAAAGGATATAAAATCAATATTGTAATGTTGTGCAAAATAAAGCAAAAGATTTTATGTACTAGACATAGTCTGCTAAAGACTCTGGCTGCAAAGACAAATATACTAAGTATTTTTGCTCATATTAATTGATTTAGATGTTAATGTTCGTGGAGAATTCGGTCAAACACCATTACATTTTACTGCCATGAAAAATTCCATTTGTCTAAAAACGCTATTAGCCCATCATGCCGATAGCTCTATTGAAGATTTAAGTGGATGCACTGCCATGCATTTGGCTATAAAATATGGCCATCGCGAGAGTGTGGAGGTAGAATTCTTATTTCAGTTAATAATAACACTAGGAAATGAATCTTTAGCTTGGAAAATTATTAGCAAAACTTGTAATTAAGTACCTTTAATCGCAATATGACAAAGTATCATAACCAAGATTTCAATGTAATTGCTCTTCTGTGTACAAATGGATGGACTCTATCCACATAGCTTTGCTAAAGTAGTCTAGTGGAGAATACGATCGTAGAATCAATGTGATTATAAACGTATACAAACATGTTTTAATTCTGTAAGCTAAGGTTTTGTTCTCGTACGCCTTTACGATACAAAAATTGAGGATAGATCTGTTGCAGTTTCTTTTCGCTATTATATATTTTTGCAATCTTTGGCTTTAATATAAGCCCAATTATACTCATCAGTACTAAGGAAAAAGCTGGAAAGATTATATTGTGAGAATAAAATAATTTAGTGGGAAAGCTACGTTAAGGTAGAAGATTTAACAGTGCAAACCTACCATATAATTAGCACAACTAGCTACAAGCGCGAGTAAAAGGATTTCTTTCTATAATGCTTAAAAGTACATGGTACTATCTGCTGAGCTTTACTGTTCGAATATCCAATACAAGCTCACTTTCATCTTTTGACTTTGTTTTATGCCGCTTATTTGTTTAACCATGCGTATTTTTCAAGCATAAATTTGATGTGAAATTTAACCGAAAGCTATCTGTTTGGCTTCACAAAAAACGTGCACAAGCTAGCATTAGCTGCCAGCTATCATTTTGCAATGTATAAGTTTCCGGTATTTGCCTATGATGAACTAAAAATTTAGTATAAATTTTGTCTTCATATTTTTGCCTAAGCTTTACAGTACTAAAAAACTATAAATTGGCAGCTTTCATTTCACAATGTACAAGCTTCAAGCATTTCCATCTGCTAAACTTAAAATCTGGTATAAAATATTGTCTTGATACTTTTGGCGAAGCTTTACAGTAATAAAAGAGCGCAAGTTAGCACTTGTTTTTTAGTGTTAACTTATGCAATTGATATATTTTGAATTCTTTCGCTTCGATATCTTAGCTTAATTAGTAATAGTTTTTGATTGATGTTATCCACCTGCTAGACTTTACTTCTAGAAAAGCCAACTCAAGCAAATCTATTAATGCATCGTGTTGAACGCAATGGTTTAACTTTACTACATCATACAGCAAAATTTGGTCGGTCAACTATTTGTGAGCTATTCGTAAGTTCTTATTTTCATGTCCTTATGATTAACTGGTATTGCAATAACTCTAGTAGAAGGCTACACGATCGACTTTCATAAACAGCAAGATTCTATGTTACATTAGTTAGCATCAGGAGCTGATCCAATGAGGCAAGCGCTAGATGGAACAACAGCGTATCATCTTGCAGCGGCTAAAGGTAACATCAGAGTGATGGAAGTAATCCTGCAAGCAGGTATATGATATGACTTAACGACTGGTTTAAGCGTATTGACATCTTTAACCATGCAGATTAACTCTTTCTGTTTATTATTCTTCTTTTTATTCTTCTTTCAGTGAGAAGCCGAGAAATTAACATTAAATCATTTGTTAATAGTGTGGATAACGAAGGTGAAACTGCTCTACATCTAGCCGTTCAGAATGGCCATTCCGAAGCAACTAAATTGTGCCTTGATCATGGGGCTGAAGTGAATGCTCAGCGGGTATAGTAACGTAGTTTTCGAACATTCTCAATAGTGGAAATTGTGATCAGATCCTGTTGCGAAGATCCTTAGTGAAATAGTGTATTGCATTAGCCTTAGAAATTGGAGAAACTCAAATTGCAATCCTAAGAGACGTCGATACTGATTTAATTCTTAACCGAGTACCTTGTCTATTCAGCTTTAAGATATGTTATGACAATATAGAATATATTCATGATCTCGTTAACTACAATTGGTTTAAGATATACTTTGTACTTAATCGTATTCATCTATTAATATTGTAAAATATCACCGTTTCTCTAATATAGCTAACAATTATTCACAGCGCAGATATTCATAGCAGCTGATTCTACTTTCATCATTGCCTTCTTTCCATTTTAATCGGAGAATTCCGAATTAATATTGAAATTATAACATATGTCTTTCTCTGTAGAAAAATTTATATACTCCGATGCATATTGCTGCTATTAAAGGCTATATTAATATTGGACAAATCTTAGCCGGGCATGGTTGCCGATTGAATATTCGCGATGTTAATCATATGACACCGCTACATCGAGCTGCTTTATACAATCGCGTGGATTTCATCAAATTCTTAATTAAAAAGGTAATTTAGTGGCTCGATTTTGCATCGAACGTTAAACGTAGGTTGTCTAATATGAGTTGTGTGAAAATAAGGGAAAATAACGGCTGGCCGCATGTTTACTCGTGATCTATTTTATAAAAGAAGTAATATTGAGCAGATTTTCATCCTTAGTTTTTTACTAATGAGAAAAAAATAAATAGTCGCTGTAATACCAAATTGTTACTATTTAGGATTGAGCAATCATCATTGATTAAATGTTTATTCCTACTGATGACTAACTAGCACGCCAAAATTAACATGAGAGATGGTGACCATTTTACTCCAGTTCTATGTGCTTCATGGAAAGGCCATACCGAAGCCGTGGATTGCCTACTGCAACATGGTGCTCGTTTAGATATTCGTGATAAAGACGGCAAAACATGCTTACATTGGGCTGCTGATCATGATCATGTTGGAACGATTAAAACCTTACTGGAGGTAATTGCTTGTGGCCGGTATATTATCCAATAGATTATAAGTCAAGATGCATTTTAAATTACTCAGTGTCCTTTAATTCAAACTAGGATACATTTACAAAATTATAAGTATATCATTTGCTTTCTACAACTCACTAAAATTGTTAGTTTAATGTTAATTCATTCATCATGGTATTATTTATATATAAGTAACTCTACATGTTTGATTTTAAATAGACTCTTGTCATCTAGCCATTATTCTATAGCTATTAGTTTATGAAATATGTCTATACTTACAATTGGTGATAATCAGACATTAGAAATAATTGAATGGCTGTTCAATACCATGACTAAAAATGACATTGTCGACATGAGACATGTAATTGTATAAAATTAATGATCTACATACTATAGAATAGTGGACAAGAACTTATCAACTGTGAGGACGATCTATGCCAAACAGCTTTATTTATCGCAGCGCAACGTGGCTATATTCAGGTAGAGTGGACAGAATAGCTGGCAACGATCGCAGGATGAGTAGATTGATACAATCCTCTAATTTCATATTAAAGGGATAAGAGTTCATTTTGGTTCAATTGCTTTAGGCCATTCGTCTACTACTAGCAAACGGTGCTCAAGTGGAGCAATTTGATCGTGATGAAAATACACCATTACACTTGGCTGCTCGTAGCGGTCGAATTCAGTGTGTTCAAATCATTTGCGAAATGGCTCCTAAACTAATCAATTCTCAAAATAAGCGAGGTCGAACACCATTGCATTTTGCAGTGATCGGGGGCCATAAAGATATTGTTCTCTATTTTCTCAAGCAAGGAAGTAATTTAGATTGCAGGTAGGTTAATATAAATAATACAAGCTGTCAATTATCAACATATTGCTTTAAAAATTCTTTCCGGTTAAGATTTATAATTTCATATGGAATGTTTAAGATAGGCATTGATATGTACGGTATTGTTAAATTAAATAATTTTAATTATAAAATAAATTTAAATGATTCTATGGTATTAAATATTAAAATGAAATCATTCTATAAGACTTATTAGAACTGTATAAGATTTATTCATGTGTAGTCATCCTGTAATTTCAGCTAAGGATGCATAAGATTTTTAGCATGCGAAATAACATAGCGTAGATCCTAACTATAAATAGAGCTAGCAACGTTCGCGGATCATGGTGACATGTTGTGTTATTAGTGAAAGTATGTAAGCACGATTTGAGTAATAGAAAGGTCCAATTTACAAGCTATTCTCGAAGTAACGATCGTATGAAGAAAATAATACCGATATATGGCATGCCTATGTTACTGAAATGTTTTTATATCCATTAGGGATGATAACCGTCAAACGCCATTAGGCTATGCTGCAGTTTATGGTCATGTCGAGATTATTAAATTAATTCTAGATAACGATATTTTAATCAATGCTTCTGATCTGAATAAAGTAAGTAAAGGATTTAATTTTTCCATGTACTGCATACCTAATGCTAAAATTAATATATAAGGTCTTCTCTTCGTAATTGCGACGAAATAGAATGATTTAATATTGTAATATGATGATTAGAATACTGCACTGCATCTTGCCTCTGCTTGGGGTCATGAGAATGTGGTTAAGGTCCTATTAGAGCGTGGAGCTGATGTTACCTTGCTGAATAGCGAAAATCAAACATGCTTAGATGTAGCTATTGAGAATTGCTGCTCCAGTGTCGGACTGGCAATTATCCAAAGCAAATAGTAAGAAATTATGCTGCTATATTTAATCATTGCTGTGCTTACTAATTCATCCGAAATAATGATTCTGGTAAACTATGAAGTGGATGTATGAATTAGCAGCTTGTATCGATATTAATCGATCATTTATTTAAAACAGCTGGGATAAAGTCATGGATATCAAAGCTTACGATGGATTTTCACCCATGAAACGTCTGATTGAGAAGATGCCTACAGTTGCTGAGGTAAGAATATTAATAGCAAATACAAAGATTTGGATACTTTACAGTATTTTGAATATTTTCTTGTCCAAATAATTAATGCATTAAATAACTACTGTTCACGATCATCTTTTCTTTTCAATCTATATGTGGTAGTAATTAATCAATAAGTTTTGTATTTTTAGGAAGTTCTAGATAAATGTATTGAAGAATCTCATCACAGCAGAGAAAATTTTGATTATTCGGTAATGACTAGAGATTTACTTTATTTTGCGCTTGCATTGCACTCAAAAGGATAGAATAGTTTGAACATAGTTTAATGTTATCTAGAGGTATACCTATATCACTGAATAGATGATTTCCCGCATATGCGCCTATAGCACAAATAGAGATGTAAAAACAAAATTTGTGAAGCGGAAGTTTTAATTCATGATATAATACCTCGAGGTTTTTTTTATTTAGTACGTGTAATTCATGTTTTCTGATATCTTTGTAGTAATAAGTATTCCTTTCTTTTAAAATTTTTGTATAATTCGAAATGAAATATGGATATTGGCGACATGAAGGTGACTTTCAATTTTAGTTATATGGAATCAACACCGGAAGAAATGAGTACCGGAATAGAATTTTTCGCTATGGCGGTAAGATTTCAGACTGATCACGGGAATGATATTACTGTTTTTAAAATTTTGCCATCGTTGCATCATCTAGACGTAAGATTGGCATTCATATACTATGTATTGATCGAAGAAGTTATAATTAACTAAAAGTCAAACTAAGATAATCACCCACAATTAATCTTTTCTTTTCACTTACCGACAGACTATGGCTAAGTTTAATAGAGTCAAGTTATTGCAGCATCCTCTGACGATATCTTATAGTCGAATGAAATGGTAATTCAATCCATATTTCTTGGGATCATTTAGAACGCTTACTATTGAGCTGCGTAAATTTGAGAATCATGAACAGTTCAATTATTAATAGAATGCTCAAATTTCTTTTTGATCATAGGGATTATGGAGAAAAATTCGTACTTTACTTCAATATGTTCTTTTACATGTTATTTGTCACTTTCATGACCGTTTATGTCGTGCAAGCTAGTAGAGATTTTGGACGTGTAGTATCGACAACAGTGGGACCTTCTGTCCAAACGAATGGTACACAGTCTACACCTGAACCTGCCGGGCCATTACTAATTAGTTGCCAAACATTAATTTTCCTACTTACAATTATTTGTGGAGCGAAAGAAGGTTTACAACTTGCTCATCAGGTTAATTTTTTGTATGCATACGGTAGAATCAATATTATTTATTCAATTCTTCACTCATATATCTTCTTCGGTTCGCTCTAGTACTTGCTCGTATTAACTTCAACTATAAAATTAAAATCAAATTTTTATGATCCCTGCTGTTTTTCTCACAGAATTGGAAGTACTTTCTTGATCCCGTTAACTATCTTGAATTAACTGTATACATTTCTGCCATGGTTTTCATACAACCTATTGGATATAAACCTGACGACTTCCAATGGCAAGTAGGCACAATCGCTATATTTTTGGCCTGGATGAATTTGATATTATTTCTACAAAGGTAATTTGCAAGTGCTCTTATAACCCATGCTGATAGAAAAATGATAAATATGCACTTATACAGACAGAGTAAATACAGCGAATAATGAGGTTGGAGAAATTGAATTCAAAGTATAGGAACTTCTTTAACAGTAGTATTATATTATATTTTTAAGATAATGTTAGTAAATTTATTGGCTATAACGGTATAATAAAATACAGTAGTGGTCCATGGTATAATATATTTGTTTATATTGAAAATGAAATCATAGACTTTAAAATAATTGAGATTCCATGACTCAATTACTTTCATAACAGATATTAAAATGTACGTGTTAACAATTGCAGATTTCTTGAATTTCCATTCTCACATAATTTTAACAGATAGTAATAGGTTACATTATAATTATTGTGTTTAATTGAAATTATTAATTTCTTTTATATAACAGAATCCAGTACATGGGTTTATACGTCTTGATGTTTGTTTCCGTTCTTAAAACTGTCTTGAAGGTCTCTATCGTTGTCTTTATGTTTATTATAGCTTACGCAGTTGCATTTAATATGCTACTGCGAAATCAGGTACGTTAGCTTTGTCTAGCTTGGATTTTAATAATACTAATTAATATTTATGTGGCCTACTGTTTAAACTGATTTTCAATTACCTCTTATTCCATTTAAGTATAATATCAGATATTTATCTTGCTCTTTTGCATAATAACTTGTAATAAATTTATTTAGGGATCATATAGCAATTTAGGCATTGCTATTACCAAAGTTATTATATCCATGTTAGGAGAAATTGATTACGTGGATACTTATGTTAATGCTAAAACTGGTGGTGCTGTTCCTTATCCAAATCTAACGCTCATATTTTTGGTTATGTTTGCCATCACTATGAATATTGTCTTAGTTAATTTGATGGTAACGCATCTTTATATGATGGTTAAAATTACCTTTTTAAAAATCGTGACATAAAGTAATTAATATTTCTACTAGATTGGGCTGGCTGTAGGCGATATCGGAACAGTTCAACAACATGCCAGCATGCAGAAACTAGCTAAAAAAGTTGATTTTACCACAGCGTTGGATAGCGCGTTCCCATATTGGTATCGGAAGCGCTTTCTGCATAAGCCAAGCATGACAATTTACCCGAATCGATATACTAACATTTTTAATAAAGTATGATGTTGACCAAGAATTGATAACGTAATTAACCGATTGAAGAATACACTTACTTGTAAATGACACCGTAAAAGCTCGTAGTCTAATGATTTAATTTACTTGATAATTTATCTGAATGGGTCAATTTAAAATTTTTAACAGAGTATAATACTATAAAAAATTTGTAACATAGCGATAGATTGATCTATGAGTAAACTGGGTGCAAAACGCTGCTTCATTATCCAAAGTTTATATTTATTCAGTGCTATAATTTTAAATCGTATACCAGAGATATATTTTGGCTTTTCTATTAATTTAAAGTCATTTTCGTTCTTGAAAAGATTGCCATCATGTCTACAGATTTATTACTATCCGCTATTATGCTACGTTAATTATTGCGTATCAAAATACTGTATATTGAAATACTTTACTTATTGATCATTTATAGGTTATTCAAACGTTAAGAAAACGAGCACTTAACAATTCCAGTCTCAGTTACGAAAACGAAAAAAATGACAGTTCAGACTATACACTATTACGGAGAGAAGTCGAAAATGAAGCTTTAGAGTAAGAATTATAGATGTTAGCTGCAGTTGAGAAATTTACTCACGAAACATTTTTATCATTCTCTCTCACATGGGATTTATAATCTTGAAATAGAATTGATGGAATGTCAGAGACAATCAATAGTTTGCAAAAAGCTGTCAACTTTCTTGCTGCAAGGTATGGTATCGAAGTAGATGAAGGCGAAGATGAATACATGTATGACTACGAAATGTAAATAATGTATAAATATCGAATAGAAATAATAACCCGTATATAGTAGGTTAGTTATCGATGTTTAGATCGATTATTTAGACCTATATCCAGTAATTTTCAACCTGGAACCTTACTATAGCGTAAATAACTAAAATTTAAAAAGAGAGACGCTTGAATAAATGTAAAATTATACTTGCAATGATCGCAGAATGTTTTTAAAAATGTATCATCACAAGAACATCGATAATCTATGGTGTTTATTAAAATTATATTTGAACATTGACTATAACATAAGCATTCACTATCATAGCGCAGATACCGCATCTACTTTGATAAGTAAACGTAATATTTATTTATTTTGTGTAAAAACTGTTTATAATACGTGTAGTCATAAATTGGTTAGGTAAGAATTTATGAGCTTCA